TAACAAATGGCTTAAAACACAGATTTATTATTTTACAGTTTTATATGTTAGAAGTCCGACATGGGTCTCACTGGGCTAAAAGCAAGTTGTGGGCAGGCTGCATTCCTTTATGGCCTTTTGGAGGCTCAGGTGGGACCTTCTTCTATCTTCTCCTCTATTCTCCTCCTCCTCTTTCTTCTTCATCTTCTTGTCATTTCCAGCTTCTAGAGGCTGCCTGCCTGCATTCTTTGGCGCATGGCCCTCTTGGTCTCCATCTTCCAAACAGGCAACAACAGGTAGAGTCCTTCTCAAAAGGCATCATTCTGACTTCCTCTTCTGTCTCTTCCATCTTTAAAAAGACCTTTGTGATTACATCATGCCCGTGTGAATAATCCAGAATAATTTATTTAAAGACAGGTGGTTAGCAACCTTGATTCCATCTTGCAATCCCTTGCTATATAACCTGGAAATTCACAAGTTCCAGGGATTAAGATGTGGATATATTTGTGAGGCCATTACTTTTTCTATGTTGGTAAATATAAACCAGATTATTATTATTATTTTTTTTTTTTAAAGATTTTGTTTATTAATCTGACAGAGAGAGACACAGCGAGAGAGGGAACACAAGCAGGGGGAGCGGGAGAGGGAGAAGCAGGCTTCCTGCCGAGCAGGGAGCCTGATGTGGGACTCGATCCCAGGACACTGGGATCATGACCTGAGCCGAAGGCAGACACTTAACGACTGAGCCACCCAGGCGCCCCCCAGATTATTATTTTTTTAAAGATCATTCTAAAATTTATATGGAAAGACATATGAGCTGGAATGTGTAAAGTCCTTTTGATAAAGAATAACAAAGTGGGAGGAATCACTCAACCCAATATCAAGATTTATCGTATAGATACAATAATAAAGGCAGTGTGGTATTAGTAGAAACTGGCCCTTGGATCAATGGAACAAAACAAAGAATCAGAACTAGATTCACATAAACATGCCCAACTGATTTCTGAGGTATAAAACAAATTCAATGGAGGAAAGACAGCTTTTTCAACAAATGGTGCTGGAGCAATTGGATACTACAGGCAAACAAAAACAAACAAAAAATCCTCTACCTAAGTCTTATACATTATAACTCAATAATATCTCAGTCATATATATGATACAATCATATAACACAAATTAACTCAAAATGGATTGTAGACTTAAATGTGTAACATAAAACTATAAAACTTGCAGGAAAAAAGAAAGAAAAAATTGGGGGGATTTAGAGCTAGGTAAAGAGATCTTAGAGTTGATACCAAAAGCATGATTCATAAAAGAGAAATCTGATAAATTAGATCTCATCAAAGTTAAAATCTTTTGCTCTGCAAAAGACTTTGCTAAGAGGATAAAAAGACAACCTACCCACTAGAGGAAAATCCTTGCAAATCACATATCTTGCTAAGTACTAATATCTAATATATATAAAGAACTCTCAATATCCAACAGCAAAAACCCCCACTTAACCCCCCCCCAAAAAAGAAAAAACAGACAAAAGATATAAACTATATGGATGGTCAATAAACACACAAAAAGTCACTGGTCCCAAGAAAGTTGAAAACCCAGTGGAGTAAATTCCATTAGTTTTCAAGGCCTGACAGTAATCCCCTGTGCCCTGAGACTCTACCTTCCAGGTTGGGTCTCTGCCCTCAAGGCCCATGGCTCATGGTCATTCTTCCTCTTTTCTTGAAGGGTAACGCATGTTTATAGTTGAGTATCTTGATCAGCCCTTTTCCTGCCTGTAGAATTTTGGAAACCTGACAGCCTTGTTATTTCATCCTGTCTCTGTTCTTGTCAGTCCAAGCTAGCAGTGTTTCTGCTGATACAAAATTTGCAAAGACCTTACGGGTTGTGGGTCTTCTCTGTTTGTCACAGGGATCCACACAATTAGTCAGGAGGCAGGACAAACTGCCCACACTCAAAAAAAAAAAAAAAAAAAAGCCATCACTGTTGGGCAACCATCTCTATTCATTTCTATTGAGATGGTTGATTGGATCCATCAGTCACATACTAATCTCTTCAGCTAAAGTTGTCCAGGCACACCCTCTCTCCAGAGCAAGCTTTCTCCAGTGAATCTCCTAATTTCAGCATCCTTTGCAGTTTGGATAGGCTAATTCCCCCAAATAACCAGACTGTGGTTCCTTTTTGCATAATAGTTACTTCCTCAATTTCTCTTTTCTTTCACATTTTACTATAAGCAGCAAGAATACACCAGGTCCCACCTTCAACATTTTCCTTGGAAATTTCCTCAGCCAAGTATTCAAATTCATCACTTACAAGTTTGCTTTTCACACAACTATAAAACACAATTCAGCCAAGTTTTCTGCTATGTAATACGAATCATCTTTCCACCAGTTTCCAGTAATAGTTTTCTCATTTTCTTTTGAGCTCTCACCAGAAACACTATTAAATGTTAATATTTGTAGTAACATTCTCCTCATGAGGATATATGTATCCTCTAAGAAAATAGCTTTCTCAATCTTGCTCTTTTCCTCCTGAGCCTACACCTTACCATCCCTAAGCCTAACAGTCTGTTTAAGGCAATCTAGGCTTTTCTATCATGTGGCTTAAAATTCTTCCAGCCTCTACCCATTGCCAAAATGTACTTCCACATTTTTAGGTGTTTGTTTTAGCAGAGCCCCATTTCCTGGTACCAAAATCTGTATTAATGTCCTGGAGCTACCATAAAAATCATCACAAATTTGGTGGTTAAAACAAGAAAATTGCAGTATATTTATAAAGTAGCACACTTACAAAATTAAATTGAATGGACTTGATTTTAAATGGAAAAGTTAAAAATTATACATTTAAAAACAGAAAAATCATACAGAAAACTTCGCTTCTGCCACTTTGAATTTTTGCAGGGACACTTCAAGTGGGTAACATTTTGTGGACAAACATTTGCATAATACCTTTTTTGCCCCTTCCCTCTTTAGCCAACTGAGATATATTACATCCCACAGATTTGCATGAGGAGGGCTTACTATAGGATTGGGAGTAAGGGAAATGTAAAATGTGAAATATAGGTTTAGGATATTTGCTGTTTGTCCTAGGGTACCAAAGGAGTCTGGGACTGGCCTACCTGTTTTTAATGTTTTCATTATAATGAATACAGTAGCAATGTGTCTCTTCTAATAATACTCCATTCCATCCCCTCCTATAAGTGATATATATTTTGGTGGGTATAGTAACTATGATAGGAGAGTAGAAATTGCAGGAGATCTTGGGAAACAGTTAAGAGCATAAATATGTAGAGGTTCCCAATGATGACTATACAAATACTTTTGACTTGTTTATATAACCTCCTATACTGGAAGTTCTAGTAGGTAAGAAAACAGCCTAGTCATCTGTGAGTTCATAATTGTATTTTTAAGTTTAGCCATTTAAAACACTGTCCGTTAGTACACCAGATTTTCTAGTACCTCATACACAAGACCTATAAAACATGAATTTTATGTACTATGTATAGCAATAAAATAAGTATATGCATACAATGCTCTACTGAAAACAAAACATGGCTATTTCAGGACATAATTAGTAAACCAGGAGGCAGGATAGCACATGTAGGAATGCTAGATAATTTATTTTTATGACAGCCACAGAAATGCATAGGAGAGAAGAAACAAATGAGAGTAGAATATCCAAGAAAAAGTGACTCACACATTCCCAACATCTTTGGTTGGTTGAGGCTAGAACAGATTCAGTTGTACCACTACCTCCCCACTCACTACATACCCAGGAAAAAGGATAGGCTTACATCCTCAGTTGTGAGTATAATTCTTTTGTTAATTGCCAGTTGTTAGCATATAATAGTATTTATTCATATACAAATATAGATTTATTCAAATGAAACAATTACTAGATTCTCATATTTATGAATACAGACCCTATAACTTACCTATTTATTTTATTCTAGTATGTTCAAACTGCCCACACTCAAAAAACAAAACAAACCCCAAACCTCAAAAGACTCCAAATCCCAGTAAGCATAAATAATTATTTGTAAAGGCTAAATTCCACAATGTTCTGTCTGGCCAGACAAGGCATTATATTTTCTATGACCCTCTCAAGTCTGAATTCTTATCATGTCGGAATTTCCTTATCACCCACTTTTTTTTTCTCTCAAGTTATCTGCAAGCCCTGGACAAGCATGTTTCCATTTATTATCCACTGGCAATTGCTGTCCCTTTCTGTAAGACAGACGGCCTCAATTGGGGGGCAGGGGAAGCTTATTTAAATTTCCACTGCATTTTATTATACAGAGTAACAGTGTATACAGTAAATATATGTTATAAATAATCAGGGGCTTTCAGTAACACTGTTCAAGGTCCTGCTGAATTTACTATTTTCACAGAAAAGATGCTATAGATGTTATTGTTTTAGCAGATTTCCAATTCTCAAACATCACCATCTCTCCAGTGATTTTTCTCCTTTTTAAAAGATTTTATTTTTTTCTTGAGAGAGAGAGAGAGCAACAGAGACCACAAGTGGGGAGGAGAGGGAGAAGCAGGCTCCCCGCTGAGCAGGGAGCCCAATGCGGGAATCGATCTCGGGACCCTGGGATTATTACCTGAGCCCAAGGCAGACACTTAACCAACTGAGCCACCCAGGTGCCCCTCCAGTGATTTTTCATTTGAGAAGTTCAGAGACCCACATTTCCTGAGAAAAATCAAGGTATAAAGGCTTACTTATATATCTATTTCATAATTCTGTCTACAGTGACTTATTCTCCCAAATTTTACTCATCTATGTCACTTCTTGGTCTCCCTTTCTCTAGTATGAATTCTTTGATGTTGAATAAGGTGTAAGTTATGGCTAAAAGTATCCCTATAATCGTGACAACTGTAGGACTCCCTCCAATATGAATTCTCTGGTTTTGTGTAAGGTTTAAGCCACAGCTAAAGAGTCTTTTTAAAATTTCTTACATTCATATACTCATGACTAACAGTCTTCTTACAATTATAACACTATATGGATTTTTTTAGAATTCTCCAGTTGGATGACTGCTAAAAGACCTTTCTCCACATTGCTTACAATCAGAGCTGTTACTCTCCAAAGTGAATCAACTCATAGTCAGAAAGGTCTGAGATGTCTGGCAGTTATCTACCATAGCTGAAGAAACTTGCATATACCCTTGGACTGAGTAATTCATCTTAATATAAGATTAACAGAAATACACACACACATGAATATTTATAGCATTTATAGCAGTATTTTTATTATAACACAAAATTATAAAAAATACCAATATCCATCAAGAGGATAAATATGGTATATTTTAAAATGGAAGAGTAAAGAGAATGAAAATGAACACATTGCTGCCACATGCAATAATGTGTGAATCTTAAAAATGTTGAGTGAAACAAGACACAAAAAAATTCATGACACATGATAAAACATAAAGTTTAAAGACATGCAAAGACTACTTCATGACGTTATAAACCAGGTACATGGTAATCTTTGGGGAAGTAACTTTTTTATTCCAGAGCATAAGGAGAAATATATTTCATATTTTCTTTTATAAAAACTGATTTTATGACCATTTTGTATCTTGCCTCTGCATGTATTATGTAAAACTTTTTTAAAAAATAAACTGAGTCAACAGAACTTGAAAACTTAAAAATTAGCTTCATTTCTGATAGAGTCCAATAACAATGATCATATCCATTATATATGCTAGTAAACAGTAGATAGTTATGTAGTTGGTACTTTAACTATTATTACATTTGTGATTAAAATTACCTTATTAAAATGTTTTAGCATGCTTTTTTTTTAAAAAGTTTTACAATAACTTGGAAAGGGTTTACAAAGAAGTCACATCATTTATTGCATTTCTATGTTTTCTCCCTTGTGAGTTCTCTGATGGACAATGAGGTTTCTCTTATAACTGAAGGACTTACCACACTCATTACAAATATAGGGTTTCTCCCCTGTGTGAGTTCTCTGATGTACGATGAGATTTGTCTTCTGGCGGAAGCACTTCCCACATTCATTACATTTATATGGTTTCTCTCCTGTATGAGTTCTTTGATGATGAATGAGATATGACTTCCTGCTAAAGGCTTTCCCACACTGAGGGCATTCATAGGATTTCTGTCCTGTATGTATTTTCTGATGTACAGTTAGAGTTGCTTTCTGGCGAAAGGACTTCCCACATTCATTACAGATATAGGGTTTCTCCCCTGTATGAATTCTCTGATGTAGATTCAGATTTGTCTTCTGACTAAAGGATTTCCCACATTCATTACATTCATATGGTTTCTCTCCTGTGTGAGTTCTGTGATGATCAATGAGGTATGACTTCATCCTAAAGGCCTTCCCACAGTGAGGACATTCATAGGATTTTTCCCCTGTATGTGTTCTCTGATGTGCCACAAGGGTTGTTTTCTGGCGGAAGGACTTCCCACATTCATTACAAATATAGGGTTTCTCCTCATTATGAGTCTTCTCATGAAGAGCAAGGGTTGTCTTCTGGGAGAAAGATTTTCCACATTCATTACAAATATAGGGCTTTTCCCCTGTATGAGTTCTCTGATGTACAGTAAGGTTTGCCTTCTGATGAAAGGACTTCCCACATTCTTTACAAATATAGGGTTTCTCTCCTGTATGAATTCTCTGATGTAAAGAGAGTGTTGTCTTCTGGCGGAAGGACTTCCCACAGTCATTACACTCATATGGTTTCTCTCCTGTATGAGTTCTCTGATGACGAATGAGGTGTGACTTCAATCTGAAGGCATTCCTACACTGTGGACATTCGTATGATTTCTCCCCTGTATGTGTTCTCTGATGATCAGTGAGGGCTGTCTTTAGGCGGAAGGACTTTCCACATTCATTACAAACAAAGGGTTTCTCTCCTGTGTGAGTTCTCTGATGATCAATGAGATAGGACTTCCTTCTAAATGAATTTCCACATTGATGACACTGATAGGGTTTTTCCTCTGTGTGAATTCCCTGATGCAGAATCAATACTGATTTTCTGCAGAAGGACTTCCCACATTCAGTGCATGTATGTTTTTTTTCAGTATTGGTTGCTCTTCTCCTTTTATTATACTCAGATGGGTTTTCCCTTCTGTGAGCTCTATTATGTGTAATTAAGCCTCCCTTTTTAAGGAAGGCTTTCTCACAGTCATTATATCCAAATGACTGTGCTGGAGTTTCCACCTTATGATACTGCATAAGTACTTCATTATGACTGACAGCCCTGCCACGTTGATTATGGGATTTGACTCCAGGTTGAGCTGTCTCCACTTTACCACTGAGGAGTGATTTCCCATATCCATTATACTCACTAAGTCTTTTTCTTGCAGGACTTAGATTACTGATGATTAATTCTGAAACATTTTTCAAAATCTTTCCATGAGTGTCATATTGAGGAGGTAGATTTTTTGAATTAATAGGGTTTTTGCTTAAAGTAAATGTCTTTTCATACGCATTACTGTTTTCCTTAATCAGTTTTTTGTGGTTGATGAATACAACTGATCTAGAAAACTTATCTTGGTGTTCCTTGAATTTCACTAAAAAGTCTTCCTCTTTCCAATTTTCTTCTACAAAAGAATATAATTAATAACAATTTGTGAATCTTCACATATTTGCTATGGAAAGAAGTTGTATTAGTATCTAGCATATGAGATCAAGAAAGACCCAGGACAAATTACTTCCTGCCTGGGAAAAGACACAAAACCTAAATAAAAACCCTGCCTCAGTGTGGAAAAAAATAAAAAATTAAGCAATGTACATTAGCAACTTCTGCACTTTGTACCAGAACTTCATACAGAAAGTGAAACAAATACACCAAGCAGTGAGGAGAAGACAAAGAATGGTGAGAGACCGATGCTTGGATAGGTGGATTCAGAAGCAATGAAGTGAACCTTTCAAAGACAATAAACTTTAAGTAGGATGGACAAGAAAAATTAGTAGAAAAGCTTGTTCAAGAAAAATACTAGAGGAAGGATTACTTTTGGAGAACACAGATCAGAGCCTGTATTTTTATACATTCATCCCTAGATTGTGAGGCAAAACACTTCCAGTTGTTCCACCACCCCTTTCCATGTAGCTATCAATGGCTAATTAATCTTTCCAAGTATCAATTTCCTAGTGTTTAGAGAGACACTTTTTCTAAAAAGATACATTTTAGAGAGAAAGAGTACACATGCAAGTGGGGGGAGAGGGAGAGAAGCAGACTCTTGAGGAAGCAGACTCTCCAGTGAGTGCAGAGCCTGATGTGGGGCTTCATCTCAGGACCTTGAGATCATGACTGGAGCCAAAATCAAGAGGTGGACTGTCAACCAACTGAGCCACCCAGGCGCCCCTAGAAAGACAATTTTTTTTTTTTTTTTTAGGTTTTTTTTTTTTTTTTTGCCGGGGAAGGGGCCGTTAGGGGGGGGACCCCAGGGGGGGGGGTGAGAGAGGGGGCAGGGAGCCCTATGCGGGGCTCAATCCCAGGATCCTGGGATCATGACCTGAGCCAAAGGCAGATGCTTAATGACTGAGCCACCCAGGCGCCCCGAAAGACAATCTTATAGCCTAGGCTCTAATCCCCCATATAGCTGGGAATCATTTTCTCTTGTGAGAAAAGAGCTAAGAAAATACTTCCACAGGAATTAAAAAACTGGGGGTACATTTACTGGCATATTCATATTGCTATTATCTATCCTTCTAGGATGGTTCAATAACAAAAATCTCATGACCATCAATTATAACTATTCCTCTTTGTAGACTTACTTTTTCATGTTTAAAGACTGCTGCAAGTCTTTCCCCAAAAAAATAACTTTTCTTAACTCAGTTTTCCATATGCTGGACAAGATTAGATTGTTCATTCTCATTCTAAATCATTAACTTTAACCTTCATTTCTCTTATAATTTTGTAGCTATATTTGACTTCTGTTACTCTGCAATCATCCACATCCAATAGAACAATGTTAAACCTAGGTTTTTTTCCTTCAGTCCATTACCCTCAACACGAACATAAAAGGAACCTCTGTAAACAAGACTTTAAATCACCTAGATTCACTTTTTATACTCAAACAAGCTTTCAGTGTTGTCCACGTATCTGACAAATCTCACACATAACAACAGAAGGCCTCATATTTATTGCCTTATAAATATCTCACTTAATCACATGCTTTGCTCATGTTCTTTTAATCAGTTGGCTTGCCTTCCAGTCTTATTTCTGCTCATATTTAGGTAATTAAAAAAAAAAATGCTATCATTCAATGATATGAAAATTCCTTCACTTATTTCCCCCCACCACTTTAAGCACTATTTCTTTATAACTTGAAAATGGTTATGGTCTAGGAAAGTCTTTTTAACAAATCTTTTTACAAGCTTAATCAAGTCATAAATATTTCATGAAAAATGCAGATTTTGATAGTAATCCTTTTTCATAGAAAAAAATACTTTATTGGTTATCTCCTTTGAACTCTTCTGAGTGTACATTAACACTGTGTATCCTACCTAGATAGATAGTGCTTGGCAGAATTCAACCATTTCAATCAGAATCTATACAGTGATGGCCTGAGCAGGTATCTGAAAGGAATTACCAGTATGAGCTTTCTGAATGAGGAAAACATACCTCCTCTGTATAGCTCCACAGTTAATGAAGCAACTACTGAGTCCTTAACATATTATACACTACAGCAAAAAAGATTCGAACAGAGGATCTTATCCTCTTAAGGAAAGAATCCTTAAATATAAACCATGTATAATCAGGTATCAAATTATATAACCATATCCAAGAGTTGTGTTTTAATTAGTAGGTAGCATGGGAATTCAGAAAAAGAATGTGGAGTAGTTAAGGAACAATTTATGGAGAAAAAAAATCTCAAGACTTAACTTAAAAGATATATAGTATATGAAAGGGAGAACACAACACAATGAAAAGTACATACATCTTGACAAATCATAGATGTGTGGAGAACACTGAGGAGACTAGATCAAGTGGAAATTACCAAGTTTTCCACAGGGAGAAAAATAAAGCTGAAAAGACCAAATGAAGGCTTATTTTAGTAGTCCTTGAATCAAGAATTTCAATTTCATATAATAGGGAACAATAAATTGAAAGAGTTAAGACAAAATTAGAGGAAAGCCAAAATGTAATTATTATAGTCAAGACATGAAATAAGGTAACATCATTTTGTATGACATCAGTGAAAAATGAAAATATGGGAAGATGTAAGTAAATATATCTCACAGGCTGATAAACATAATACAAATTGTGAAGAGATCCACAAGAGATGGTGATAGAGACAGAAAAAGCTGGTATCATGGTAGAAATAAAATAATTTGGAAATAGATAATGAGGAAGAATTTAAAAGCTAGGCAATTTCATGATTTTCATTTCAACATAATGTCACAAAATAGATGAAACATCAGAGTTCAGAACTCCTGAAGTACTACAGTGAAGGTGGGAGAAATGTGCTGAGTATGTCAGTGTTAGAGACATCTACATAAAACAAAGAGCTTCAGTCCTCAGAATGGATGAGATTACTATAATTTAAAGGCAGATCCCTTGAGGTCAAATCAGAGAAATAAGACTGAGAGTCTAGTAAAACAATATACATTTAAAAATATATGTATCAGTGACTATTACATGCCAGGTATTGTTCCAGGCAATATGGCCAGTAATGAAGAAAACAGAACAAGTTGGAAATAATCACTAAGGGAATCAGGATAAGAATAAGTAATGTTTTACTCACACCAAGGGTTGACTTCAGGTGTGATGATCAGCCATATAAAATGAACCACAAAAGTTTACTGGAAGAAAATGATAACTGTGGAATTATCAATCTAGCCAAGGCAAGTGAGTTTTAAAACCAACAGCTAGATTTGTGGTGAGAAGGGGAGCTTATTAGACTTAGCACAGAAAACAAATCTGAGGTAATAAAAAGAAAAAGAAAAAAAATGGAAAGCAGTGAGAAGAAAAACATTAACCAAGAATATTCTCTTCTTTAAAAATAGATTTAAGAATGCCTAAAAGAAATATATACAACGGCAAGAAGATAAAGGACTGAGCCTACAAAAAGACACAAATCAAGAAAAAAGATCTAAAGGAAGGCTTATAGTACATTTTGATTGAGTGGCAACTATCCTTAATAACATCAAGCAAACTAGAAAAGAATATTATATTGGGAAAGTGATATTTAAAAGTTTAAATTTTGCAGGCATGATGATCATTTAAAAATTTAGGAGCCTTTAAAAAGGCAAAATATTTCAAAGGTGCCACCCACCACATGACCATTTTAAAATTTATTCTCCACTAGACTTTATCCACCTGAAGAGTCAGAAACTCACCTAAGCAGGCATGACCTGTAAATGATGTCCATGGCTCTTCTCCTCGTTCCAACTTGAGGATCACATCAGGTTTGGTCATGTGACACCCTGATAAAGAAAAATTTGGATTAAGTTGCTTAGGCCTCAATACATTTGAAAAATTAGTACAGTACATTTTCAATGCAAATTAAGATACTTCTTCATGTAAGAGAAAACTTAACATCTTGTTCTGGGTAAGTACACAATTATCCTCTCTGTTAACAAATAATTCATCACCTCTTAAGCCTGAAATTCAGGGCATAATTCAGGCACTTTGAAAGGAAATGTATACTACTGGAATTTTCAAAGAGAGTTTTTCTTACCCACAGAGATGAGATGGCAATAGTTTTCCAACATCACATCCATGTAGAGAGTCTTCTGAGCAGGATCCAGGTGCTGCCACTCCTCCCGAGTGAAGTCCACAGTCACATCTTTGAAAGACACTGATGACTGCAATGGATTGGGACTATGATCAGAGTAAGCTGACTAGATATTGTGGACTACTTTTGATCCTGCTCCTTTGGGGCATTCATATGAATATAAAGAAAGCCAATCATTTTTGTCTTGTGATTTACATGGTAAGATAAACAAAAGTGAAGGCAGAAGTAACTGGCACTGAATTTATTTAATAATTAATTCTAAAAATATTTACGTGAAGTCGCTTTGTACCCCAAAACTGCATTCGTTTACTGGAATGCCAAGACATACAAAGCATGGTCCCTACATAGCCTCAAAGCAAGGAACACACACCTTTAATAAGGTATGTATAAACACAAACCTGCTAGAAGGTGTTACAGGTACTACAACAAAAGAATATACAAGATGCAGTATATTACAAGGGGAGCACAACTGAGGAAGTAAAATTTTTCCCTGTCAAGATTATGTTATGTGGGAAGAATATGGTTTTAGAATGCATAGGAACAACTGGCATCCAAAACTAATACAGTGAATTGGTCACGAAAACGATCCCTCAGATAATCATTATTTAGAATTAACATAACATATATTTCTGAACATAATATATAATAAATGACAGATGGCACTGGAAAATAATCAAAGCAAGCAAAAACTGAAGAATTTATTCTTAATGGACAGCAACTGCAATGGGTAAGAACTGTTCAGTTCATGGCTTTTTTTTGCATGAAGGTAGCAGAAACCCTACAGCTCCTGAGGCAGAATTTAGAACTGGCAGATAAGCTGGAGATTTAGAAATAAATTCATTCATTCATTCTTTCTTTTCTTTCTCTCTCTCCCTTTTTCTTTTCTTTTCCCTTCCTTCCTTCTCTTTCTTTCTCTCTTTCTCTTTCTTTTTTTAAAGTAGGCTCCACGCAATGTTGAGCCCAATGCGGGCCTTGAACTTATGACCGTGAGATCAACACCTGAGCTGAGATCAAGGGATGCTTGACCAATTGAGTCAGCCAGGCACCCCTGGAAATAAATTACTGAAGTGAGAGAACTACAGAAAGGATAAGAACCAAAATCAGAGTATAAACGCTGCCAGAACTCCAGGTTGGTAGTTAAACTAAGCAATTGTTGGAGACATCACAGAGGACTTAGCAAGATACCAGAAGAGAGTTCTGAAAAATAGAAGTGCACCTACACCTAGTGAGATTCTGAGATTTCTGCATTTTTTTATTAACAGCATTACATAACCTGCTCATAGCTCAAGCAGAAGAAAACTGAAGCCTTACTGGATGGAGGTGTCAGAAAATTGCAGCTCACAGAGCAGCAGGAAATATAGGGGGTGAACACTGAAGAAAGAGCCCTACAGAAAGTAAGCCCTAAAATATAAGTATAAACACCAATTCCTTAATAAAGAGCTAAAGTACGTGAACACAAAAAGAACTGACCTCCCCTCCCCTAAGGGGGCTAGGGTCAAAAAGCAGCAGGTGGAAGCTAAAAGAACTGAACTGATATATCAGCTGCTTTACACTTGAGGGTGGGGGCAGTTTTAAAGTTCGATTTCAAGCAAATTAGTTGCCTGCTTAAAAAAAAAACCAATAATCCTCAGAAAAAAAAGACAGAATGAAATTACTGTATTATTCATGATATTTAGGTTTCTAGCAAAAATTACTAAACACACAAACAAAACAAAACAAGAGGAAGGGGTATGACCCATATTCAGAAAAAGCCAGAGAAACTAATCCCTAGTGGGCCCCAATGTTGGATTTTGCCAAAAAAAGGCTTCAAAGCAGCTATTTTTAATGTGTTCAAAGAAGTAATGAAAAACCTGGGCATGGAAATAGATATAAGTAAAAAATCAATACATGAATGAAAATGAACTATTAAAATGTATTTGATTAACACAAGAGACAACATATATAAGAACAGATGACTAAAAAACAGGTTGGGGTGCCTGGGTGGCTCAGTCAGTTAAGTATCTGACCCTTGATTTCAGCTCAGGTCATGATCTCAGGGTCGTGGGATTGAGCCCTACATTGGGCTCCATGCTCAGTGGGGAGCTGGCTTGAGATTCTCTCTCTCCCACTCCCCCTACTCCTCCCTCCCCTAAAATAAATAAATAAATCTTAAAAAAAAAAAACAACCCAAAACAGGTTAGGATAAGAAGCCAATCAGAAAAGGCTGTATGATTCCAACTATATGATATTCTGGGAAGGCAAAACTATGGAGATAGTTTTAAAAAAAAAAAAAAAGGAAGGGACAAGGGATGAATAGGTGTAGCACAGAGGATTTTTAGAGCAGTGAAACTATTCCATATAATACTATAATGGCGGATATATCATTATATATTTGTGAGAATCCACTGAATATATAAGACCAAGAGTGAACCTTAATGTAAACTACAGACTTTGGGAAATAATGATGTGTTAATGTAGGTTCACTGTAATAAATGTATCACTCTAGTGCAAAATGTTGATAATGGGGAGGCTATTCTTGTGTAGGGGCAGGGGGTAAATGGAAACTCTGTACTTTCTTTTAAAAAAAGATTTTATTTTTAAGTAATCTTTATGCCCAATGTGGGGCTTGAACCCAAAATCCCAGATTAAGAGTCACATGCTCCATGGACTGAGCCAGCCAGGAGCCCTGAAACTGTACTTTCTATACAATTTTGCCATGAACCTAAAACTGCCTTAAAATACAGAATATATTTAAAAGGATTAAAAAAAAGGGTTAGTAAAGGCACCTGCAGATTGAAAGTGAGGGGATGGAGAACCATTTATCATGCTAATGGACATCAAAAGAAAGCTGAGGAGCCATATTTTTTCAGGCAAACTAGATTTTATTTTATTTTATTTTAAGATTTTATTTATTTGACAGAGCAAGAGAGAGATCACAAGAGCAGCAGGCAGAGGGAGAGGGAGAACAGGTTCCCCGCTGAGCAGAGAGCCCTATGTGGGGCTTGATCCCAGGACCCTGGGATCATGACCCGAGCTGAAGGCAGACAGGCAACCAACTGATCCACCCAGGCACTCCCAAATGAGATTTTAAACCAAAGACTGTAACAAGGTATGAAGAAGGGCATTATATCATAATAAAGGGGCCTATCCAACAAGAAAATCTAACAAGTGTAAATATTTATGCTCCCAATTTGGGAGTACTCAAATATACAAATCAATTAATAACAAACATAAAGAAGTTCACTGATAAAAATACAATAATAACAGGGGATTTTAACACCACTTACAGCAAAGGAAAGATCATCTAAACAGAAAATCAACAAGGAAACAATGGCTTTGAATGACACACTGGACCAGATGGACTTAATAGATATATTCAGAACATTTCATCCTAACGCAGCAGAATACACATTTTTTTCCAGTGCACATGGAACATTTTCCAGAACAGATCACATACTGGGTCACAAATCAGGCCTCAACAAGTACAAAACAACTGAGATCATACCATACATATTTTTTGACCACAACACTATGAAACTTGAAGTCAACCACAAGAAAAAATTTGGAAAGACCACAAATACATGTTAAAGAACATCCTACTAAAGAATGAGTGGGTTAACCAGGAAATTAAAGAAGAAATTAAAAAAAAAATACATGAAAGCAAATGAAAGTGAAAACATGACAGTCTAAAACCTTTGGGATGAAGCAGAAGTGGTCCTAAGAGTAAGTACGTAGCAATACAGGCCTGTCTCAAGAAACAAAACTCTCAAATACACAACCTAACTTTATACCTAAAGGAGCTAGAAAAGTAAGAGGAAATAAAGCCTAAAGCCAGCAGAAGAAGGGAATAATAAAGATTAGAGCAGAAGTAAATAATAGACAAATAATAGAAAAAAAACCCCCCAGTAGAACAGATCAATCAGACTAAGAGCTGGTTCTTTGGAAGAATTAATAAAATTGATAACCCCATAGCCAGACTTACCAAAAAGAAAAAGACCCAAATCAATAAAATCACAAATGAAAGAGAAGATATCACAACCAACACTACAGAAATATAATTATAAGAGAACATTAAAAATTATATGCCAACAAACTAGGCAATCTGGAAGAAATGGATGAATTCCTAGAAACATAAATTACCAAAACTGAAACAGGAATAGAAAATTTGAACAGACCCATAACCAGCAAAGAAATTGAATCAGTAATCAAAAATCTCCCAACAAACAAAAGTCCAGGGCCTGATGGCTTCCCAGGAGAATTCTACCACTTTTTTTTTTTTTTT